TCATGCAAACTCGATCGTAGATCTTTGGTGCTATAGATACATAATTCCACGCTTTCGTAGTTGTACAAATCTATTGGACTCGTAAATATTCGAGATATCAGAGATGAAGTCACAGAATATTTGAGTGCCAAAGATTCAGACTCGTTGGGATTCTACGATCCCTCGACGTTTTCGCGTGTACTCTATCGATCTGTATTCCCCGCAATCGGCTTCGAAATCCCCGCTGACATAAAGGTCATAGAAATAAACGCGATCTTCATAAAGCTTTTGTATTTCAGGCTACTATGGAGGAGGTGGCTCGAGGTGATCAGAAGTCGTCGTTACTGCAGAAACTACTGTCCGAGTGACTGCAGGCCACCACAATCCCGTTACGCAGTAAAGGATTACATGTAATATATGTTTGAGTGTGTGGAGAGCGAAACGGAGATACAAGGACGTAAAAGTACGGGAGAGAGCGAGAGCGCGAGAGGGAGAGAGTATGAGAGAGTCAGAGAGAATGAGAGAGAATTATAAAACGCATATACACTCTTGTACGTAATGGATACTATTGTATTATATGTAACGCCACATACGGAGTCAGTATTCATATACGTATCACCAAATACAATGCGAAACTAGCGCGCGGTGCTCTCTAGAATGTGTTGCTCGTCTATCAGTCGAGGAGATGGGACGAGCGAGTGAACGAGAAAGGAGAGAAACTGAGAGAGAAAAAGAAAGAGAAAGAAGGAGGGAGAGAATGAGAAAAATAGAGGTAATAAAAGAGATAAAGAAAAAGGGTGGAAAACAGCGGGACTTTTTTTCCTCCCTTTCTTTTTTATTTTTCAAACTCGAAGGACCAAAAGTTTCCGTTTGGCTATGTTGAGACTTCCTGAATGAGTATTAGAACGGAAAAGAGGTATTGATGTTTCGAGATATCGCGATGAGGGAAGAATCGAGTTTCTAGAATTCTCTTGTTGTTTTTTTGAAGAGAAAAAATCTCTCTTTCTCGTTGAGCTCGTCCCGGCTTTGGACAACGATACCGAGATATTATACGATATAACGATCGCAGGCATACCGACGAGATAAGCCCACATCCGCATGTTACCTGCTGATAGGTGTGTGTGAGTATCATATTTTGTGCGTGTGTATGCGTGTCGCGTTCTCCGTCAGTATTGTATTTGGTATATCAGCAAGGGCGTTAAGGGAGAGGAAACTATGTAGGTACCTCAAAAGGTATACTTTACTATACCACTGGCTGTTGAACATAGAAACTATTTATAGGATTTAATTATTGTACACAGAGGAAAGAAAGAAATAGAGCACTCTATTCACATATTCTCCTTAATTTAAAAGAAAAAAAACATCCTTTCGACTATTACATTTATGAATAATATATTTGTGATTGTAAGAATCTTCAACCAAAATGTGACAAAGAATACTTGTTGTTGTTAATATGATTATAACTATTATTATATATTATAATAACTATTAATTATTTTATTTTATTTTATTATTATATTATTAATAATATTATATTATTATTATTAATATCATTATCACTATTACCAATATTCTTGTTGCAATTACTATATATTATAGTATTAAGAATTATTATTATTATTTTATTATATTATTATTTTATTATATATATCGCGATACTGATATTATTGAACACTTGGAATATGCATATTTCTATTTAATAGTAAGAGTACCTTTATATATATATAGATATAAATACAATATATATATTGTATAAATGTATATGTATATATATGTATAGTGGGTTTATGTACGCGTTATATATAAATAATAGAAGCGGACATTATTTATGTATAATCGATATATAAATTGACGTATATTTATATATCTATACATGCGCGATGAAAGAAAGAAAGAAAAGAGGAAATCGATCTTCTATTTTGCATAGCTCGGTAATGATTCTCTTTTGGGTCTTAGATGCACACTAAATTACTTCTAAATGACATCTGTTGTTATATAAATGAGAAAAAGAAATCTTCTAATTACACTTACACGCGTATACGCACACGACGTTTACGTGTGCGTGCGTATGTACGTATGTACACACGTACGTACGCATGTACATACGCACGTGCGCGCGTATATGTATATGTGTGTGTGTGTGTACACGCGTGTACACATACATATGAAAGAAATCTCACGCAAGTGTCTTATTTTTCCAGGAAGTTCACCACTTATTAAAAGTTGGAAGAAATCGCTACTAGAGGTTTTAAACGCGTGCGATTATAAACTCAAGCAAGGGGGTTGATACGCGAAAACGACGTCGGCGACTTTCGCGTCGGCGGAATCTTGTTTTTGTTGTTATGCGCGAATTTGATGATAATGGACATACGCGAGAAAAGCGTGTTTCTCTTCCGTTTCATTTCGGCGTGATTTTCAAATGTGATTTCGACGGACGCACATGGCAATTAGTAGCGTTATTTAGAGTATGTTATTATCTCGTTCGTTATTTTATAGTATGCGTCCGTCACGTGATGTTCTTTAAAATTCCGAAAGTTTTATCGAGAGCGGGAAAAGAAACGCGTTTGATTATTTACAAATTATTTACGGAAGTTGGATTGTTTCGCTTAGTGATTGAGGTCTGCCGAGAGAGAGGTGTATGTAAAATAAAGGAATTTGAAAAAGAAAAGAGGAATCAAATTTTCGTTCGTTGCGTGTGTCTAGCGAAAACGCGCGTGCGTTGTTGTTACTTTCGTTGCTTTTTGATATTTTGTACAGTATAAAATACATTTTTTCCGCGTGGCGCGAGGAAACGAGTACGATGATGACTGCAGTTGAGTGACGATAACGGTAATGATGATGCTGTGATGACATTTAACACTTGGCCTGCTCGTCCCTTGTTGCTTTTTCTTCCAATCGAAAACAGTTACAAAGTTGTAATCTCCGTAAAAAAACACACATCCGTGAGGTACTCTGAATATGTACACGTACATACATAGGCATGTACTCGCCTGTGAACGCGGAAATACGTATGTTACGCGTACGAGAGCGAGAGAGAGAACGAAAGAGAGAAAGAGTGTGAGATTGAACGAGAGTGAGAATGAGAGTGAGAGAAAAAGGGAGGGTGAGAAAGAAAAGGGGGAGGAGAAAAAGAGAGAGAGAACAAGGTAGTACTCATGTACATGTTGTGTATGTCGTGTGTGTGTGTGTGCTAATGTCAGATGTATGCAAGATAGATGGATGGGTAAGATGATGTTAGGCGCGTATGTGTATGCGTGTATGCGTGTATGCGTGATGCGTGCGTTGTTCGTAGGCACGCTCGTACGCGGGTGTGCGTAGCAAATTACGTCATATAGATAGATCATATGTGCTTTCTAATGATGAATAATTTTATAAATATAAATATAATACCGATCTCTCACCGTGTATGTTCATTTCGAAGCGCTTGTATGTGAATTTTGCGTGTCCTTAAGAAGGTCCGTTCGTCTTTTATTAAACTAACAAATTATCAATGTTCTTGCATTTTTTTTAGTTGGCTCTTACAAGTAGAAGTGGATAATGTTGGAAAAAGAATCGAGTATAAAAAAATATCGATTTCTGATACTTACTATAATATCTAAAAAACAATGGAATATAATAGATATTTAATTATTTTTAAATAACTAGTTAATGTGTGTATATAAATAATAAATTATTAGTAATAGTATTTAATATTTGATTTGTACTATTTAATTTTTTTCACACATTAGTAAAAATTTAGTATTTTTCACGCGTTATCGTTTACTGTGTATATATTTCATTTGAATTGCTGTGAAACCTGATCCTACTTCGATTTTTTTATTTTTCAATTGTATAATTTATCGTTAGGTCCGAATTTTCTTTCCTGTTAGAGTAAGTGGAAATAAAAATTTATCAGATACGTTGTTTATTTGTATTGGAAACGAAATTATGAATCAGAGGAATTTTTATTTTTCAGCAACAATTCATTGAGAAGTGAATTCCTATAAAGAGAAAAAACAGTAGATAAACGTTTAGGAGTAATTTTTGTAGCATATACAAAACGATTTTTATTTAATGCGGTACATAGTTACAGTAGCGATACAACATATATCACGTTAATTTAATTATTATAGTGCTATTTTCATATATCGCGTCAGCGATTGGCAGTTTACGATGGAACGCGATAGGTCCTTTTTTTATTTGGCACACGGCAGTTACGGCTTCACGGCAGCCGGCGTCGCCTTTTTTTATTGGGCGCGCAGGAAGGGACAAGTGGTCGAGACAGAGATATAGACCTTGTAAATAAGGTAGGAACGGATAACACCAGCAAATTCTTAGAAGTGCGATAGAAGAGTCCGAGATAAGAATTTTGAGATAAATAACTTATGGTGTTGGTTTCAATAGCAGTCGCTCTGAGAAGCAAAATGCCTCTTCCGATTCATGTTGAATTTTTATAGAAAAATGTCCAAAAATTACGTTTGATTTACTCAAACTTTTTTGTTCATAAGTTTTTAAACAACAAGCGCTGCCTAAAACCTTCTAAGGGTTACTCAGGAGGGTGATCTCTATAATACATGTCAAGATCAAGGTGATTGGAGCTGCTTCTCCTATAGTCGATAATTACCAATTTTTCTCACAGATTATCGAGAATACATTGATCGATTCTATTAAAAAGAAAGAAAAGCATTTATTGACATAGTTTCTTTCCCAATTCTTATGCGAGAGACTGCAAACAATACCGTGAGAATTTCCTTTTAGTCTTTGTATCTCTCGGACCTCCGTGTTGTTCGGATTATCTCAAACGGCTTACTTTAGCCTCCCCAATCGCCTCTAAGTATTTGTCCATGCTATCCTTTTCTACCCAGCCTAAAGTCAACGAACCAGAGGGCACACCCGGCTGTCATACATAACTTAACTAGTAGAAGAGAAAGAGAGTTTCTTGTTTTCTTATATACATAGGCTCGCTACGCCCTGGCACGTCACTGACGCCGCTCGTGTTCTCGGTGTTGTGTGTGCACTTCGTATATCATCCTCTACGGCTGATTGTCGGGTGACTCTGACGGTCGTTCGCCCTGCCTGCCGCGTACGCGACCCCTCCTACGGTAATTGTTGTGTCTGTTGTTGGAGTATCTGTCCTGGTTGTTAGGATATCTGTTTTGGTTGGAATATCTATCCTGGTTAGAATATCTATCCTGGTTGGAATATCTATCCTGGCTGGAATATCTATCTTGGTTGGAATATCTATCCTGACTGGAGTATCTGTCCTGGTTAGAATATCTATCTTGGTTGCTGGGGTATCTCTCTTGGCCGGCTCGCGTTCTATGCGACTGGTAATCGGTCGGATAGCGCGGCGACGGAGGGTAATGAACGTTGCTCGGTACTCGCTCGTTGTTGGACGTGAAAGGCTTCAGGTCCGTCCTGCCTTGGACCTCGGTGACACGCCGACGAACACACACGGCGCATCGACTCACCCGGGACGTGTGATCGGCCTTAAGAGTCTGCTGCAGCGGCTTGCGGAACATCTCATTGTCATGGATTGTCGCTAACCAGTACGACGTCGCGGTGGCGAAGTAGTTGCAGGTGCCAAGACCGCGGCATTCGATGAACGGCCGGAGGCGGAAATCTTCGAGGCAGGATCCCGGGGAAACCAGCGACTGACCACCGCCGTCGGCGGCCGCGTCTCTATGCTATAATTGGGAAAAGAGGCGCGTTACTTGAAAAGTTATTCGGCAAGACGATCGTTTATTAAAAGGTGCTCATTCGTTTAAGTGATTTTTTAATTTTTGTATCGTTGACCAGTAACAAGCTAAAGGAGATGTTTCCTTGAATGTTGCTTTAAGTGAACGCACTGTGCTGTTTATAGACTATTTCGGTTGAAACTTTAATAGTGTATCAGTCCGATATATGACAATCGATCTCACCATGAGGAAACTGTATCCGACCCAGATTTCCTCCCAGCCACCTGGGCACTCGGGTATAGCCATGGATTGACTGTGGACGGCTATCACTCTGGTTGGCGCCTCGCACACAGAGCATCTCGATATGTATCTACCAACTTCCGGTGCCGGTATCGGTGTCATCATCGTCGGCATCGGCTCGGTCGTACTGAGCCAGTAGCTGTAGTCGTTACGATTGGCGTAATCGCACACGTTGTTCAAGTTGCAGAATATGAACGGCATGGTAGAGAACTTTTTGATGCAGCTACCGGCAGCGCCTGGATTATAATATATTTTTGCGATGGCCATTTTTTAAAGGTTTTTAGTATTAGGAATTTAATTAAATTTTGTTAAGTTTAAATAATTTAATATTTTTGCACTTCATGTATAATAGTATAAATATAAGTAATTCAATTAATATATATTAATTAATATATATTAATATATATTAATATATATAATATATATAATATATTAATAGTTACGCGCACGCGCTTTTCATAAAACTATTAATTTATTTATACATTATTAATTTATTTAAATATAAATACATTAGAGAGAGAATGAGGGAATTATATATTTTAGAATAATATGCGCGTGTATGTTATTATTTATGTGGAAAAAATATTTTGCCACACTTACCAAGATCCTGCGCGTAGGCTCGTCCATTGCCCATGGTGTGCAATAGAGAAAATCCTTCCCATAATTTTACAGTATTTTTTGGACAAATTGGTATCATTTCGGACTGCGAGTGACGAGCAAAGTAAAAACCTCTATCCTTTGGACCGATTCCGTTCTGTGCGGGTATACCAGGTGCACCAGGGGATCCTAAGAAATTGTTTTCCCATTTAGTCCCATAATAAACGTTATATAAAATATACAATATATATACAACACACACACATATATTTTTTTATTAATATATTAAATAATATATATTTTCTTATAACACACATTATATTCGATCCAAAAATAAAATTATAGTGCTCCGACGATCAATTATTAAATATGTGTACATTTTACGTATATGCCCATACCTGGTGGCCCTTGACGTCCAGTCGCTCCAGGAGGTCCTGAGTAACCCGTAGGCCCATCTTCACCATCCGGTCCTGACAGTCCAGGCAGACCAATCATACCTCTTTCACCCTCTCGTCCAGGCAAGCCGTCCTTGCCAGGATCACCCATCATTCCTTGTTGTCCTTGGAAACCTGCATAGCCACACAGGTTCGTATCTCCCTCAAATCTGTCACAATCTGTTATTTGTGTAAAGGAAAGTATATATTACCCGGTAATCCTGGCGGTCCTATATCACCCTGAAGTCCTTTTCTAGGGAATGGCGAGAAAGGATTTATGCCGAGTTCTCCCTTCGGTCCCTATAAAAAAAAGCGGTAATTATTTTTTTTATTTATCTAAATGATTTCGGTCACTTAAAAATAAAATCGTGCGAAAAAAATTGTCGTATGTATTGGATATCACTTGCGAGGATAGTAAAACTCACTTGAGGCCCGTGAGGGCCAGGCAATCCAGGTAGACCAAGTTCACCAGGTTCTCCTTGTACTCCTTTCGGTCCAGGTAATCCGCTGAACCCGGGTAGACCATTTTCACCCTTCATTCCTTTCTGCCCAAATCGACCGTCCAATCCAGTAAATCCAACTTCACCAGGTTGCCCTTTGATGCTACCCGCGGATATTCCTTGTTCTCCGCGTAAACCTTTTGGACCTGGTGCCCCAGTGAAGCCTTGCACTCCTTGCGAGCCTGGTACGCCTGGTAAGCCGACGAATCCTCTAGCACCTGATTAGAATATAGTAAGTTAAAAAAGATTTTAAATAGATGAAATTTTTTCCTTACAAAGGACATACGAAGAAACAAAATTGATATTAAATTCAATCGATAAAGTTACAAAATCTTATAATGTCGAAAATCAAAATATCGGTTAGAAACATTGAATAATAAAATTTCTTGTTATTTAAAATTTCTTTTTATTTACTTGCGAATTAGAAAAAGAATTAGATAGACGAGATTGCAATAACAAATACGAATGATGATGGACACCTGGTTCTCCCACAGATCCTTTAGGGCCGCGAATGCTGTCGCCTATGTCTCCAGAGATTCCTATAGGTCCATTTGGACCATATTCACCGGGAGCTCCCTTCTGTCCTGGACGTCCTGCGACACCGGGTAAACCATCCAGACCAGCGCGACCAATTTCACCGGGCTCAGCATATTCAGCAATCAAACCTGTCGAAAACAAACAGAAGGATACAAAATAGAAGAATAATTGTGACGATATCTTGATGTATGCATATATAATGATAAGAAACTCGTAGAATTGTATTGAAAAAATTAAAATGTTGATAACAAGCGTTGATCCGAGACTTTCTAAAAAAATCGAAAAGTTTGATAAAAAAATTCTTTTGAGTAAAAATTTGTACGAATTTATAGTAAAAATGAAATAACTGTACTAAATGATGTGTACTAATGACTTTTGTACAAATTTAATGTATAATTATATCATATATATCGAAAATTTGAATGAGAGTTAAGATAAGTTATGTACACGTATACTCTCCACTACTACCTTGCAATATCAAACTAACCTGTATACAAAGGTTTACTTACCTGGAGCTCCGGCAGATCCTTGATCACCCGGCAGACCAGGGAAACCGGGTAATCCTGTAAAACCGGCGGGACCTGCGTATCCTCGATCTCCGGTTTGACCCTGTAATGGATGATTAAGTAAGTTCTTCCGAAGTTACGGATATCCGATCTAGCCATCGTTCACTTACCTTGCGGCCGTGTATTCCTATGTATCCTGGCTCGCCCACTTGTCCTTTCACACCGGGGAAACCATCATGGCCGCGGTTACCGTAATCGCCCTTTTCCGCGAAAGCGTAAGATGGTGAACCAGGCTCGCCAATGTAACCCTTAAATCCGGGAGCACCCATGATACCCGGTGCTCCTCTGAAACCCTTGTCGCCCGGCATTCCTGACATAAAATATTTTCGGTTAAGTAATCGATCTTCATAATGAACAGGACATACACGTTTCATTTCATTTCATTTCATTCCTTGTGTAACATATAAGCATGAAGAAGATCGAAATAACAGCATTGTAGAACATATTAAAATTCATGTAGTAATTTGGTAAAAGATACAAATTATAAGAAACAAATGTTAAGAGAAAGTAGTTGAATTTGACGATTATAAAAATTATACAAATAAAATTGTATAAAAATCATAGAAAATCTATATGTTAAAATCAATGAGAACACGTGTTGATTATGTACCTGGTCGACCCATTGTACCAGGATCGCCATCGGGACCGCGTTTTCCTTTTAATCCGTCAAATCCAGCGGGACCAATCGGGCCCCTTGTACCTTTTGTACCGTGTCTACCGGACACTCCCGGCAGACCTCGCCTTCCAGGGAAACCTCGATCTCCTCGCTCGCCTTTGAATCCATCAGGACCCATGTCACCAATTTCTCCCTTAATTGATTTGTGTATCGTTATAATTTCTCAGTATAATTTTTCATATATTATTGTTAGTACATAAAAACCAATATAAACATATAGTTCTTACATCTTAGAAATTTTTATTCCCTTGAGATGATCACTTCCTGATAAGATACTTACTTTTGGTCCCTCGGTACCATCGAATCCGTCGAATCCTGGTTCGCCTTTCTGTCCTTGCAGGCCGTTGAACCCATCGGCAGATAATCCTGGTTCTCCTGGCAAACCCGGTCTACCGTCGAATCCAGTCAAACCGGGTGGCCCGATTTCTCCCATGAAACCAGGCTCACCGCTTTCACCCTGAGGACCACTGAAGGAGTTTTCGCCAAGAAGTCCAGGATATCCTTCGAGTCCACGATTACCCAATTCACCTTTAAATCCAGGCGGTCCTGGCACCCCCGGCACACCGGGGAATCCAAAGTCTCCCATTTCTCCTTTAGGCCCGGGTGCTCCGTCTATACCGTCGACACCGAGCCAACCAGATGGTCCTGACTCGCCAATCTCGCCTACTTCTCCTTTTCTCCCTGGAACACCTGGTTTCCCTTGTATACCGTGCATGCCTTGGTATCCCTGAAGTCCCGTGTCACCATCATCACCACGTCGCCCGATGAAGCCCACTTCACCTTTCAAGCCCTTCATTCCGTCAAATCCAGAAGGACCATCGGGACCTGACAACAGATACTTTCGGTTTATAATTTTGATACTGAGATACGATTCGTTCATCTTTTACTTCTAGAAGAACATTGTTTTGATTAATTGTCTATAACATGGTAATTTGTACAACGATGGCGTCATTTCACGTTTGTGGTATAATGTATGCTCTATAGTATGAGAACTTGAGAATTATTTATCATTGCGTGTTGACAGGATAACTTTTTTGTCGTTATAGATAAGTAATGTTAGTCTACGGTGGTTGCTCACCACGCACGCCGACATCTCCAATTCTTCCAGGCATTCCAGGTTGGCCAGGTATACCTGGCAGACCTCGATTACCTTGTGTACTATCGCCACGTTGACCTTTGGTTCCCTAATATCGGTCAAATCAATAATTTTAATAAGTATTCTCGGTAGAAATTCGATATAAGTTCAATATAATTTTCCGTAAATATTGATTCAATGTGAAGTAATCTTTCTAGGAGCTGATGAAAAGAATCTACTTACTGGAAGACCAGGTAACCCCTCGTAACCAGGCGCTCCTTTAGCACCCTTGGCACCTTTCGCACCGTCCTCTCCTGTTCGTCCAAGCAATCCTGGAGGACCGCTATTACCGAAATCTCCTTTTGGACCGTACCATCCGCGTTCTCCGATCTCACCGTAAGTCAGATTCGTGCCCGGATCTCCTCGGTCACCTTTGTTGCCAACGCGACCCTACAAAAGATTACGTATGTTGTTTCATTTATGGAAGAAAGTTCCGACAATTTAATTCAGAATTAATAATAAAATAAATAATTGAATATGAAGTTATTTAAATATTATTATATATAAGACAAATTTAAATATTATTATATATAAGACAAATTTAATGAAATTATCAAAGCAATATAAAGATATTTCGATCGTATCGACTTACCGGAAAACCTACTGGTCCCTGCGATCCAGGTGAACCTGGTGCACCACGATATCCTTGTTCTCCTGGCATTCCGGGATAACCCTTCAAGCCTACAAAGCCTTGAGGCGAAATACCTGGTGAGCCAGCCTCACCGGGTGATCCGGTTATACCTTCGTCACCCGCGCGTCCTTGGAAGCCTTTGAAACCAAATTGACCTACAAGAAGACGTGAAGAGTAATTTAGCTTTGTTTTGAACTTACTAACATGTCAAAGAAGTTTATATGTGAAATACTTTTAATGGTGCTTCAACTTACCGATAGATCCTCTTTCACCTTTGTAACCTTTTTCGCCTTTAGATTGTAGATTATAATCCAGGGATACTCCACTTTCTCCCTTGATACCCTTGTCTCCTTGTATTCCTTTCTCTCCTGTTGCTCCCAGATATCCAAGATCTCCGCGCAGAAACGCGAGCGGTACTGAAGCGTCCTCGCCTTTTTCACCAGGTATACCATCCCATCCCGGCGAACCGTCTCTACCCGGTAATCCAAGTGCACCATGTTCACCCTACAAATTAAGATTTCAATTAAAGAGATTTGTGATATTTCCGACTTTTTAAATACAAAAAGTTGTTTCGTTTCTACATGTGTGAAGTATGAATGCAAACCTTGTCTCCTTTTGGTCCTGGTGCACCATTGTCACCGATAAGTCCTGGTCTTCCTCGTGGACCTCTAAGTCCTTCGGGTCCAGGTAAGCCTTTTTCGCCGAAGTCACCCGGTGGACTCACAAACTTTTCGCTTGGCGGGAAAAATATCTTGCCTGCTTCGCCTTTGGGTCCTTGGATCCCCGCAATACCGGACCTTCCGCTGTCACCTTGAAGTCCTGAAGGTCCGACCGGGCCTCGTTTTCCTTGTATTCCTTTAAAACCCCGAGGACCAGGCAATCCGGGGAAACCAGACGCACCAGGATATCCGTCCAAACCAGACTCACCACGCTCTCCTTTCTCACCGGGTAGACCTGGCGACGATTGATACAATTTTTTAATAATTATCAAATTATTGGATTAATAATTAGAGGTTTTAAATGTCATATCTCTATCGTTATCATTACGATACGATATGTTTCGAAAAGATTCAATGATTCGTTAAGACTATTATACTTACCGGGTGTACACACGCCACAATCGTCTCCTCGAAAACCTTTGACTCCTTTAGGACCGGATCTACCGGGCCAACCATCGGGGCCAGGTAAACCTGGTGTGCCGGGCAGACCTCGTTCTCCAGGAGGTCCGCGGATCCTTATGCCTTTTCCAGGGAAACCTTTTTCTCCTATTCAACGATGATATTTATTTGTAATTAGTACACGAGAAAATTATTTGAGTTTAATATTTTTAGAATAATATTAATATATTTGATAATATAATTGATAAATAAAATTGCTGTACGGCACACAAATGTTAACACTTATCTCGAGTGTTTAGTATTTACAATTTTTAATAAATATAAGTTTGAAAATTGTAAAATTCTATTTTTTTATCGTGTTATATCAACAAACGTAGATTCAGATTTTACCGGGAGGACCGGGATCACCGCGTTCACCAAGAGAGCCTGACACTCCTGGGTGGCCCGGGATGCCATCAGGTCCTGGTGGTCCAATTATCGTTACACCAGGAAATCCTTTAGCTCCGACGATTCCGGGTAAACCGGGCAGTCCGGGAGGTCCTTGAGGTCCGATAGAACCCGCTAAGCCTGGATCCAAAAGCAAAAGTAACTTTTATTTAGGATTCTTCGCTCAATAAATAATAGTGCAATATAACAAGCAATATAATAAGATTCATGAATTACGAACCATCATCTCCTTGTTCTCCTTTTATGGATGAACCCTTCGTTCCCGGCAAACCGGAGATACCCGGAGGTCCTGGTGATCCCGGTGGTCCTATGAAACCTACTTTTCCTATCTGACCAGGTGTACCAGGCTCGCCAGCGTCACCAATGGGACCTGGGAAAATGAAAGAAATGCAAAAATATTTTTGAGGTTCAAAAATAAGTTTTTTTCTTTTACTTAATTTTTCGTTGATATACATATAAAATCACATTATTAATATTTAAGTGTGTATTTTAATTTATTAAAACATTTTTTTTATTACTAATTTCATTAATGTTATTAAAGAAAGTATTAATAGTAATATTTCCATAGAAAGAAATAATTCATTATACACTTATACCGACCAAGATCTCCTTGTATTCCGATATTCCCAGCGATTATCTCGTCGAGTTCCGGAATGTATTTTCCAGGTTCTCCTTCGGCACCCTGTTTACCAGGTGAACCGCGATTTCCTTCTTCTCCTTCTTCTCCCTTTATAATATGAAGGGTAATAAATAATAATATATAATTATTATTTTTTTATTATAAATATTGTACATAATATATATGCGACACACTTACATCACTCCCATCCGCGCCAGGTAATCCCGCGAATCCTGGAGCTCCTTTCTCTCCCTTTTCACCAGCTGGACCTGGCGGGCCCTCGACACCCTGCTTGCCTCTTGGTCCATCGTCACCTTGCTCACCCTTTACACCCTTGATGCCCTGGAAGCCTGATCGACCCTGCAAAATAATTGCATTTCATTTAAACATTGCAATCGACTGAGATATTTCTCATGAAATCAAATTTTATATTTTGTATCAAAACTTTTTCTGTTTTTATATCATTTTTACTTTTTAATTTTTTTATATGTTTATAATTTTCTATAGGATTACTTGCACAATCACATTTGATACAAATGGTTTAATTTACCCGTGGACCTCTGATACCCAACTCTCCTTTGAGACCCCAACCTCCGTAGTCGCCTTTCATGCCCTTTGGTCCAGGTTGACCTTTCACGGGCGTCGATTTTTCTTTTTTCTTATATTCGTCTTTACCCGGTGATCCAGCCTCTCCTCTGTCACCCTGTTCGCCAGGCTGACCCTTCACACCGTAGACACTGTCACCACGGTCACCTTGCATACCCGGCAATCCGGGCGCACCTATCAAACCCTAAGGAAAGATAGATATTGTCTTCACCTCACCACGAAATGATTATTGGCAAATATAATCTTACTTCACAAAAAAATTACATCTCAACATATTTAAAAATGAAAGCATGTTGAAGTATATTTCCTCACAAATAAACCGAATGTTTCTTTTAATGAGTTTCGCGTTTTGCATTAGGAGATATTTGAATGCTATTATTTTTTCAATTAGCTGGTCATGTCTAAATCCATTAAGAGACTCGTACTGTCGAGCGATGCTCCCGAGACACCCGGTATATGTTGACGCGACTCTGCCTACATGTCGCATACGCATTACACTGAAGTTACATCTGTGAGTGTGCATGGTAAAGCGTAAGTGCATTATATATATAAATATATATATATATATATATATATATATATATATATATATATATAAAAGTGTATATGTGTGTGTGTGTATGTATGTGTTTGTGTGTATGCATTATAACTCCATTATAATGCTAATTTTAGCGTACGTCCCGGTCCGTCCCTGTTTATTTTTACTCGCAAGCGAAATGGAGTTAGAGCACGCACACTTCGCAGAATCATTTTTATCGTCATGAAGTGCGATCTTTAGTTTTTATTAACATGCACAGTTACATCGTAAAAGTTAGAATTAAAAAATAATTGGAAGATAAATTGAAGTACGAATCGGTCCATTTGAGAAAAAAGGGCGTAAATTTGCGGATTCTAGCGCAATTTATCGATCTGCTTTTCGCGGATTTGAATGGGAGGTGCCGACTCGAGGTTCAGCGCCATTAAAAAAGATTACTCGTATAATTGCGGGGCGCGATTAACGCGTTGCCAATGAAGTAACCGGTTTTCAGTAGCCGATTGTCTTTCCCAGTGGCGCAGTGGACTTTTGCTCCGAGGACTAACACAAGATGGAGAATCCGTGCTCGTCGAATTTCTCAGAAGTCACAGGAAGATTCTTCAGGTGGGATCTTCTTCTCTTCTTCTTCTTCTCGAGAGGAGACAGCATTCGCGCTATCAGCGACAGACGTGTCAGCAGATAGCAGTTGGCGATGCTTCGGGTTTCAGCGGATCGTTTCGTATTTAACGATTAAGTACGGGGCCCTCGCACATTTTAACAGTTTCTTTCTTTTGCGCTTCCTCGCGTTCCGCCTTGACACTACCCTCGAGAGCTGATACGGTCGAAGTTATTCCTACGTTTGCAAAAATTCAAAGGAAAGCGACGTAGCTTCTCCACATTACGGCTCGTTAACGCGAACACAGAGAAAAAGAATTACATTCGAGGGAGAAACAACTCGTCTGTGATTCGAGTATTGTATTACCCTTATTCGTGTTAAATAATTTTCTCTGGCCGAATAAAGCAACAAACGATTCGATCAATAATTAATTAGGCGCATTAGAGAAGATTTGAAACTATTTGCGTGTACGAAAAGCGCTCTAAATTAATTCCTCAACTTTCGCGCGTTTCAAAACACTTGGCGAATATTTCGCTGTTTGCGACATCTATTTGCGATAGCTGTTTGACGTACACATGGATAATTGCCCATGCTGAATTTCTGCAATCTGTCACGAGTAACATCGCCGATCTTCTCCAAAGGTGTACGAATCTTTCGCGAGAAAGAGAGAGAGAAAGAGAAAACTTAGCGCTCGTTCGGTTAATAAGTTGCGTCAAGCAAATTGCAAACGAGCAAAGCTCTTCTCTCCCTACGCGCAGTGGCGAAAGTAGCTGATAAGTAGCGAGTATATAACGTAAAGTAGTATGTAAGTACACACGCTGAGAACGTTAAACCTTCTTGTAAAAGGCTGCTCGCGCTTCAGGGAATACGTGTAACATGGCGCACGTAATTCAATCTTACGGGAGTAACCTGGAATACGGCGCGGATAACTTTCGCGAGACCATAGTGTCTACCATGCGCTTTAAGAATCTCGTGGAATTTCCAAGTCTAGTTTTGCGCAAACCGGAACTCCCACGGCGCATGCTGTATCACCAAATTATACTCTTCCTCCCGTACCGCGGTTATCATTCGAGAGAGGTGACCACCCGATTTAAGGGATTTATTTTTTAAATTCCGGGAGGAAAATTCAACTATCATCTTTCCTCTTAAATCGGTTAACGCAAACTTATCGTTTCACGATGGACTTTCTCGTGGATTATTACCAGACTTCCGTATTTTGCTGGAAGCAAACGACGATCAGAAGATAACTGAATGGCAATTACCAATTGCAGCTTTTTGCTAATCGTTACGATTAACCTGCTTGAGGTAAAAGTGACAATGTCCGTACATCTGAACATTTTTGTTGTCTCGGTCTTTAAACAAAATCGGATATCGAAACTTTCAACGTTGATGTCAAATGTTGAACATAAAAATACATATAAAGAATATCCAATATTTTATGCTGAAAATTTAAATATTCCTATTTAAAGACCAAAGCAATAAGAATGTCCATTAAGTTTGGAGAAATTGACACTTTTAACTTACTTAGTTCTAATTATTCACAAAAAGGGAAAATCTTATTGTCCGCGATTGACGGTCCTTCTTTCGCGTCCTGAACGTTTAATCTGACCGGCACATTTTCTTCGCGTAAAGCTCGATCAAGCGCTCGCGCTTACGTTCCAAGGCGACGTTTAAGACATGCTGTGTAAGAGGATGCTTCAGTACGGCGGCGGTTATCGCGCGATATCGCGGCGCGAAGCCCTTTTCGGATTCTTTTCGCTTCTATCCTTCTCTTTAGCCGGCACCCGTTAAATATTGCCGGGGAATACTTCGGCCGGCAGACGATATTTCATGCAAGCAGGTGGCGTCTCGCAAAAAGGAACCAAAAGAAAGAGAGAGAGAGGGAGAGAGAGAGAGAGAGAGAGAGAGAGAGAGAGAGAGAGAGAGA